GGACTTCAACTCCCAACTTGGCTGAGGAATTATGGGAGTTGAAGTCCTCAAGTCTTAAACTTGCCAAGGTCTTGACATCCATGATTTATAGAGCGAAACAGCCTTTGCGAAGGCATTTATTTACAAATTACCCTACATGCATGAAACAGAACTCTTGGTTCTTATTCCTATAGAAGCTTCTAACTATGCCTTTGCTTTAGATGTTTATGGAAGATACTGCAATATATCTGTTAGATGGAGAAGCCCAGTTTCAATAGATTTATATTAAGCCTAGTATAAATGCGCTGGTATATTTCAGACACAGTGAAAGTCATGAGATAAAACAGCTATTACAAATCCTCTTACCCTACTAGGAGGATGGTGGTTTGTACATAGCTTAGCACAACATGTGGGCATTGATATTGTGGTTCTTAAACTATAGCTTATGGCTTAGTGTTATTTGTAAACTAGTATTAAACTAAACTAACCTCGTCACCTCGAGGCTGGATTATTGCAATGCGCTCTACATGGTGCTACCCTTGAAAAGCGTTCGGAGACTGCAGTTAGTCCAGAATGTGGCCGCGCGAGCGATATTGGGTGCACCGAGGTACACCCACGTTACACCATATTACACCTGTCCTCCGCGAGCTGCACTGGCTACCAATTGGTCTCCGGACGCAATTCAAGGTGTTGGTTATCACTTTTAAAGCCCTACATGACTTAGGGTCAGAGTACCTCCGAGACCGCCTACTGCCACATACCTCCCAGCAGCCAGTAAGATCCCACAGATTGGGCCTCCTTCAGATGCCGTCAGTCAGACAGTGTCGGCTGGCGGGCCCTCGGAGGAGAGCCTTCTCTGTGGCTGCTCAGACTCTTTGGAACCAGCTACCCCTAGAGATCCGGACCATACCCATTCTCATGGCCTTCAGGAAAGCTGTAAAAACTTGGCTGTTCCTGCAGGCCTGGGGCTGTTGACCTCACTATTGAGGTCCAGCCCCGATTAGAATGAATGTATGAGGTGTTGCTGTTTTAAACCGTTCCTTCGTTATGTGTTTCGTTATGTCTTTTTTTTTCCTCTTTATTTTTGTAAGCCGCCCGGAGTCCTTTGGGATTGGGCGGCATATAAATGTGGTTAATAATAACAACAACAACAACTAACTTAATTGAGTTGTGGCAGCACAGTGGTTAGAATGCAGTATTGCAAGCTAATTCTGCTGACTGCCAGCTGCCTGCAGTTTGGCAGTTCGATTCTTACCAGTTCAAGGTTGACTCAGCCTTCCATCTGAGATTGGTCAAATGAGGAAGTAGATTCTTGGGGGCAATAGGCTGATTCTGTAAACCGCTTAGAGAGGGCTGTAAAGTACTATGAAGCAGTAAATAAAGTCTATGGTTTTTTTGCTATTAATTGCCTTGCTGGGCAACAGAAATGTTGAGCTCAATTGTGTTCATAGGTCAAGGATTACCTGTATTTGAATAATAGAAAGAGGTTGTGCATTGAAAAAATGGGCGCAGAGAGAAAGAAAAAAATAAGTGCAGTGAGCCCATTTCTCCATGCATTTCATAGGTTCCCCTTTTAGAGAGAAATAGATTTGTGTTTGTTTGTCTGCACACACACACACACACACACACGCTCAAACTCAGCCGTGAACTCATTGGTTGACCTTGGGCCAACAACAATATGTCATCAAGTCTGCTTCACGAAGCGTTTTTATGAAAAAAAATAAGGAAAGGGTACTACTTATCTAACTTTAATCTCCCAATTAAAAATAAGATATAAATCAAATAAATGAGAGCTGTTTGATCCAATGGTTAAAATATCAGGCTAGAAACCATGACACTGAATTCTAGTCCTGTCTTGGATAGGAAAGCTCACCGGGTGACTTTGGGCCAATCACTCTCTCTCAACTCATGACGTCCGGCTTCAGCGACAATCCACTCGATCAATTCCTTTCTCAACCAATAGATCAATACTCAAAAGTAGCATTTCACAGAAAAAGTAATGGAAGCTTGGAATCAACTTTCAGAGGAAGTAGTAGGTCAGTCAGAAAGTAACTTGAGTTTAGACATGCTTGAGGTAATCTATTAATTTAAATTTACAATTAAAATAATAAATTAAAAAGAATATAAAATAAAAACCCCTCAAAGGGTAGACTTGATGGATTCCTGGGCCTTTTTCTACCACCAGTTTTCTATGTTTCCATGTTAATATTCAGTTGTGATGAAAAAAGCAGACTTGAAGGAAAACACTTAAGATTTTTTTTTTAAAAAATCATACGAATAACAATTGAAATATTCTATTTGCAATTAGAATTTGGGGGTGCTTTAAAGCTGCATCTAAGTGTAGAGCTGAATGCAGCTTCAAAACTACAGGAGGTCTGTTATTGACCCACTTATATTTTTAGATTTCAAACTAGGCTTTCCTCTTGGTCTCAAATCCTTCACTGACTTGACTTTAAGGTTTACTTGCAAAATTTTTAGACAAGTTTTATCTAACAAAACAGATTTGGCAAAAAGTATTGGGAAAATAGTCTAGAATTGCTAAGTACTCAAATCTCAAACATTCTAAATACAGGTAGTCCTCAACATGACCAGAATGGAGCCCAAATTTCTGTTACTAAGTGAGATGTTTGTTAAGTGAATTTTGCCCCACTTTACGACTTTTCTGGCCACAGTTATTAAGTGAGTCACTGCAGTTGTTAACTTAGTAACACAGTTGTTAAGTGAATCTGGTTTCCCCATTGACCTTGTTTGTCAGTAGTCGCAAAAGGAGATTCCATGACACAGCAATGGTCATAAATATGAACCAATTGCTAAGCATCTGAAATTTGATCACATGATCATGGGGATGTGAAAAACAGTCATAAGTCACATTTTTCAGTGCCGTTGCAACTTTGGTCACTAAATGAACTATAGTAAGTCAAGGACTGCCTGTAACAGCTAATATGGATTACATGTATTTTTAAACTGCTACCCATACAGATCTTTCTCAAAGAAACCCAAGCTTTTCAAGGTGCAGATTCATTCCTGCAACAAAACTAGCCAGCCTTGCAAAATTCATAGAAGAGATGAGCCAAAGTGTTCGCTTCTTAAACTGATTGACAGACAGGAGAACCAATAGGTTTCCCTTCAGGGTGGCTATGAAGAAGAACAGAGGAATAGGCAAGAGTGGCTAAACATCACTCCCCCACAGATCATACATGATCCGTATATAAACATATAAGAAAGCTTCATGCAACTTTGAAGCTCTGTTGTCAGGGAATCAAGTAACATCCCACAAAAGTTCCGTTTTATTAGAGATGTCATATTGGCACATCTGGGGAAACCGCAAACTGAGAGTTTCCAGGTTTTCCCCACCCAAAAGAAAGTCAAAGATCCATCCCCTGCACCCACAAGTCTATCACATGGCCCAATCATTTCATCGTCCCAACTGGAGACAACCCCCAGTCGCTCCCATCCAGGCGCAAGCCAAATGCCCTTGACTCCCAGAGAAGAAAGGAATGTTGTTATGGCTAATTCTCCACCGACTCCTTCAATCCCCCCCTCCCATTTTCCCAGGCACTAATCATGGCAGCCCTGAAGCTCCAAAGAAAAAGATGGCCTCCAGGGCTGACAGGGTATTCTGGAGAGCTTGGTTTCCAAGTTTTCCCCACGCAAGTGGCAGTTCAAGTCCCAACATGTACATCACAGGATCCAATCAGGCACTATCCAAGACTGGAGATGCCTCCCGGTTACCTCATTGCAGCTGCAAGGACAAAGCAACCTTGACTTTTTAAGAAAATTTTTTATTTTGACTACACATCGCCCACACTCTGTATAACCTCACTCCCACTTTCCTTCAGTAGAAAACGTGGCAGGCCTGAAGTCCCAACGATAAAAGATGGCTTCCAAGGCTGACAGGATATTCTGGAGAGCTTGGTTTCCAAGTTTTTCCCACGCAAGTGGAAGTTCAAGTCCCAGCCCAGCACCCACATGTACATCATAGGATCCAATCAGGCACTATCCAAGACTGGAG